ACAAGTACAGACACAAGTACAGAGACACAAGTACAGAGACACAAGTACAGAGACACAAGTACAGAGATATAAGTATTTTAGTAGTGTTCATAAAATTGTTCAAAATAAAAAATCTTAATTCCACTTTCCTCAGTTCATTCGCTCACTCGTACCTTGTGTGTGCACTTGTAGGTAAAAGATGTCATGAAGGACATCATGTCCAACCTTCAGCAGACCAACAGTGAGAAGATCCTTCTGAGCTGGGTCCGACAGTGCACACGCCTCTACCCCGAAGTCAACGTGCTGAACTTCACCACCAGCTGGGCCGACGGCCTCGCCTTCAACGGAATCCTGCACCACTTCAGGTGAGGGGGGGGGAGGGGGACCGTCAGCTGGAGACAGACACGCAGCCGTGGCAACCAAATATTTGGCTGCAGTGACCTGATAAGAACGATATCCACTTATTTGTGTCTCCTTTTTCAAAGCGTTTCACTCCTGGTTTTCTGACGCTCAGATGTTATGACCAGTGAGAGATGAAAGCTGTACATATTTGACTCACTGACGTACGTCCTGAGGACCACGGACCAAGTGTTTGTTTTTTGTGTGTGTGTGTGAGATGGTGAAGATGCTCAGGCTGTAGTGTAGGTCAGGGTGACAGGTCACCGCCTGCAGTTTCTGTGTGTACATTGTTTGACAAGCTGCGTTTACGCCTGCCATGTCACTGTTTGAACACGCTCGGTGTGTGTGTGTGTGTGTGTGTGTGTGTGTGGGTCTCTTTGTGCATTTTCCCTCCCCTTTTTGGAAGTCCTACACAGGCACTCACACACTCCTCATTCCAGAGTTGTTAGAACTGTCATTTAGATAACATTTAGATGTTTGTTTGTTTGTTTGTTTGTTTGTTTACCTCAGCCTCAACTTGTTACTTTCAATAAGTCACCAACCTCCAAGAAGACCCTAGAAATCAGAGAACTACCTAAATGCTCTCTTACACACACACACACACACACACACACAGCTCACGCACACACAGGCATGTGAGCTGTGAGAAAGGCCAGTGTTGGTTTAAACCAGGGCCAGGGTTTATTTGGCTCAATGAACACACACATTCCACAACCAACTGACCTCAACACAGGTCTCCAATGCACAGCTCGTCGGCAGCACAACTCCTGCCAATTATAAAATGTTATTTTAAAACACCATGATTTAAAAAATAAAAAAAATACCGACAGCCGTATGACTACGTCTTTTCAGCTGACAAATAAAAGGGTGGCTGTGGATTATTCATGATTAATCCTGATTTATCGCGATTAATTAACCGTCCTGAATTTGACATGAAATGAGAAAATTGTGCAAATAAGTCTACAATCAGTTTGTCAGCTGTAGAGTTCCTTACTGTGATTGTTGAGGCTGAATTCTCCACAAACACATGCTGGGTGTTGAGATGGTATTTTAAGCTTCAGACACTTGAAATGAAAAGTATTTCACAGAGTGTGTGTTATCGACACAAACTGTGTATCCACTGTGAGAATACCATGACGTTATTGGATGGTGGAATTTCTTTGAATACACATCACACACACAATAAAATGTTGTCAAATGTAAAAGATTTTTAATAATTTTGTTTCACAGGTTGAAAGGTTAATTGTTCACTCTAAATCGGTGTGAATGTGAGTGTGAATGGTTGTTGATTGCATTTACAAGTGGTAGAAAAACAATTACTGATAATCAATGATAGACTGGTTGACCAACGATTTTGGTCTTTTTTTTTTTAAATACATTTTGAACGATTCTCTGCCCTCAGGCCAAATGTGTTCAGCTGGGACGACGTGGTCCGACGGACCCCCGTGGAGCGGCTGGACCACGCGTTCACCGTAGCCAAAGATCAGCTCGGCATCGAGAGGTTACTGGATCCTGAAGGTATGGGTTCACTGGTTCATGTGGTGGTTATTTATTTGTGTGGAAACAAATGTGAAAAGTTGTAAAAAATGACATTTTGCTCCTTTTTTAGAAGTCTTAAAAATACATGTTGAAATTGGAGAGAGATTCCTTTTTTTTTTCATTTTCTCCACTTTTAAATTCCCACATAGTAAAACATTATGTGTACTCACAAAGCCCGCCTTCATCTCCTGCCAGCAGCTGGATGAACTCACGGTGGAGCGAGATCTTAGTGTTTTCTTTGGCTGAGAGTTTTTATTTGAATATTTTTCTTGTTCGTGGAGCACCTGCAGTGAGCGGTCGAAGTTTGGGTTGTTTTAATGTCGCGACCAGGGGCCAATCACATCTGACCCGTGTCAAGTACAACCTGCTCCCCTTTACAGTAATTTCCCCCTGTCACTGTTAACTGCTGTGTCTGTCTGTCTTCCCTGCAGTCGTTCTCCTGCTGTTATTATCACAACCTCAACATCTCCCACTCTCTCCACTGACTTTGGTTGTAAATGTAATTCAGCTCTGCCGTTACATCCATCTTGTTTTTCACCGTCGTCTTCTTTTCTTCCTGTCAGACGTGGCTGTGCAACTGCCTGACAAGAAATCAATCATCATGTACGTGACATCACTGTTTGCCGTGCTGCCCAAAGATGTGAGCATGGAAGCGATCAGAGAGGTGGAAACTCTGCCACGCAGGTTCAAAGCGGAGGCGGAGGATCCGGGTCCAGGCCTCAGTGCTCAGGTAAAATATTCGACTTTTGTTTTTATCACACAAGCTGAGCTTCCGAATTCAATGAATATATCATTCATTTATTAATGCCTTTTTACAAAATTAATGTTAGCATATCAACACATATAGTATTCTTCGTATGTACTCTCTATATATGTATTTGTATATATATATATGTGTGTATGTACATATTTATATACCTGCATACATACATATGTGTATATATGTATGTAAATACATGTGGTGTGCAGTGTGGTGGTGTACAAATGACGTTGTTTTAGCAGATTTTCAAAAGCAAAACAAAAACATTTATTAAATATATTAGAGCGAGTGACGGAACCTTTGAATGAACCCGTGTAAAGATCATATTATTAACATGTACTGTTTCAAGCCTGTATTAAAACAGGAAACGGGGAAAAACACAGCACTTTTAGTTAATATAATAATAAAAAAAAATCCCCGTTGGACCAAAAAAAGTCAATCTTAAATGACTTAACCTTTGCTGCTGTGCTGTGTTTCTGACAGTATTCAATTGAAAGGCCACAAACTTTGTTATGTGCAAAGAAAAAGAAGTATCACATGTATCTGTAGATGGACTGAGTCACCCCACATTTCTGAAAACGCCACCTCCTCTTAAATTGTCCAGCAAATAAAAAAAAAATACAGCAGGCAAATAGGGAACAGGGCCATGACTCACCACGCTAACATTAGCCAAGAGAGCGGACTGTGTGCTGCTGGAACCACAGAGCC